TTTATTTGTAGTTATTTTATTTATATTTGCATTGCATTGCAGTAATGGGAATTGGAGAATAAGTGTAGTTAACTGTAAAAAAAAAAATAAATGTATATTTAAATATTATTTAATATTTAATACAGTTCTAATTATACATAATAAAAGTACAATTAAGATTTTTACATAATATTTATTTATATATACTTTTATTTTATAAAATATTATATATATTTATAATAAATATATGTAATTGCATATACATAATTATATTTTCATTATATATATTTATATATTAAATTATATTTATGCAATATATATATATAGAGAGAGAGAGATTATTTTGCAGTGAAATATGGCTTGTATATGCTCATGAGATTCACTCTTACATCTTTATAGTAAGTCATCACATGACCTGGTTACTTCTGTTCATTTAATCAAAGCTGTCACTTGAGACACACCTTCCTAATGAATAAAATGAGAATCAGAGTAACGTGGATAGAAAAACAGATCATTGCTTCATTTTTAAGCATCAATTACAGCGCGTGTCTGGCTGTTTGTTTTGCTCTGGATGATGAACGACCTCTACAGACACTATCTCACAGCAAGACCACATGCAAAACATGCAGTAAGGAGAGAAAGTTGGCGTGCATGAACGGCGTGTTCTGTTTTGTGGTTTGGGGAGGATTTGTCCCCAGGAGAGGGAGTGATGGGAGGCTGTGCTAGATTAAGGTAGATTATATCTGTCCACAGTTTTATCATCAGAATCAGAGATGAGGACGTAATGCGATGACGCACATTACAGCTGAAATCCTCGTGCCAGGTCCTCTACACCGCTGTGTGCAGATATACTGACACGAGTGAAAGTGAATTACTGCATGAACGTTTGTTCACACTGACGGTGATTTTATGCAACTGGAGGTCGAATAATCAACGTTAATAGCAGGCTGCACAACAAAGGCCATAGTTTTTGAAAATCTGAACCACAAATTAGATGTATTATTAGTAAATATAATATAATATTAATAATAATAATATAATATAATGGAAAGCAGCTGTATATAATGCATTATATCATGAACAAGATGAATGTTTATCAGTGATTGGAATTACCTGAAATTGCAATGGAAATTTCAATGTTTTGCAATCCTTGTAATTTTTTTTTCTTTTAATTTAAATGTGAAATAAGGCCTTGCAAATCACAGTAGCATATATATAATATAATATAATAATGGAAAGCAGCTGTATATTATGCAGTAAATCACGAACAAAAATTAAAATTGCGATGTAAAATTAAATATGCTGTAAGCAGTTTTAGCTGTTTTGCAAATCTTGTATTTTTTTTTTTTTTTTTCAATGTGGAAAAATGAGCTTGCAAACCACAGTAGTATTTCTATGACTTTCCAAAAGAGGAAATAAAATATGGAGAGATTGACTACATTGATCAGAAGAGAGAAAGATGTCAAATTTGCTGTTGTATTAGAAACTGCAATTTAATAGTAAGGTAATATTACACAAAGTATAGTGTTATAAATGTACATTACATTTAAAAAAATGAAATTATAAAAACTTTTGATTTATGATGTTAATAACGGTGGAAACGTGTCTGAAAAGAATCCACTGTGTCGCTCAACATTTGCGTAAAGTTAAACTCTGCTCAACATTATGTGTTACTAGAAATGGCCACATTACATCCACAGGAACATTAGTTTGGTATGTTATATGTAAATAGTGAGGGGAAAAAACTTGATCTGAATGTTTAGTCTGATGGTTGTGAATTCAGATGGATGAGGTTGTGATCTCAGATGTGTGTCACAGAGTCATATTGTGCCATCATAACCTGCTTGGTGTCCAGCACTGTGAATGCTGCTGCCTGTGGACGCATGTGCTGTCCCGACACGCATACACTAACCAGAACTACCCATCTGTCTGTGGAGAGACGCAGTGACCTCTAACTCAAATGACCTTCCTGCATCAGCAATAACCTGCTCGAGTTCTACTGCTGTTTTATTCATCTGCAGAGCAGATTTATGCAGTGTCAACACACCAGTTGATTTACATGTCTTTTCCAGTTGTTCATAATAGCTGGATAAGTATTATTATATGTTTTATTTTAAATATGTTTCTATTTTCAACATTTCAATTTTTTTAACATTAAGTTCTTAATCTAATATCTAAGTAGTAATATATTTATTAATTTAATCATCTAATATTGTAATAATATTTTAGCTTTTTTTAATAAACAAAATTTTCTACTGCTACTTAAATGTATTTTATTTCTTTGAGTTACGAAGGCAACATTTCCATTTACATTTTTTTTTTACGTTTTTCAAGTAATGTTTACATTTAATTTCAGATTTATTTCAATTAACAAAAGTATTATTTAGTAATTTTATTAAACAAAAACTTATTAATTTATTCAGTTAGTTGCTGATTTATTCAGTAATGGAAAGACATTTTCATTTTTAAATATTTTTTAAGTTATTAATCTAATATTTATATTTTATTTCAGCTTTATTTCAATTAACAATGATTTTTTTAGTAATTTAAGTACTTGAACTTTATTTATGTTAGTTGCCAAGGCAACATTCCCGATTTAAAAAAAAATATTATTTAAATTTTTTCATCTAATATTTATATTTTATTTCAGCTTTATTCAATAAATTATTTTAATAGTTTTAGTCTATTTAGTCTATTTTAGTTAGTTGCCAAGGCAAAAATATATTTTTTTACTTTTAATATTATTATTTTTTTAATTTTAACTGAGCATAACAGTCTCCATGACTGTTATGAAAAATTCCATGACTTACCAAGAAATTTACATTTTAAAATTCACAGACATTTGTGATGATCTTAAGAACCCATATAATGTCTTCAGTGGAGATCATGTTTTTTTTTTTATTAATATTAGTGGATAATCTAAACATTTAAAAAACAATTATGTGTTTGCACTTCAATTGTGACATCATAAGCCCAGAGAGAACAAAATAAAACATCAAATTATTTCAGAATGTTGGTCTCAATAACATAATATAATATAATATAATATAATATAATGCAACTTCAGTAATTACAAAATGTCATTTGGCTGCTGTTGCATTTTAAGCTGACCATTTAAAGTGAAATAACTCAATAACAATCATGTTTAAATCGGGGTATCGTCTGATCATTCATTTTTTAATTTAATATTGAAATCTGAAAAATGAAAAAACGGCACATTTTTTGTTTTTCATTTGCTCAAACAAAACGAAAAATCAAGAATTTGGCTTCATTTTTCGTTTTTACGTTCAGGCATAGAAAACGAATAAGCAACTTGAATATTCGATCTCTACATGTGGGCGGGAATGAAACGCCCCTCTCCGCTGATTGGTCAACCAAACGTTTAATAGTCCTAAAAAAAACATAATAAGAGTCCTCCGCCTCTATGGATTCTTAACGTGTTTATTTCTACTACATTTGATCTCTTTCTCTTCATCAAACAGCCAGATTAACGAATGGCTTGACACAAACCGTA